TTAAAAAGATGAATGTCAAAAACTAGAATTTGTTTTGATCACCTTTGTGGAAACAAATTTGTTTCAGACATTTATCATTTTTGACAAACTCGCCTTATTAATTGTCATGTTTAACAGTCCCTGAACAAAGCAAAAGAGAATTAAAGTCAATCAAAAAGTACGACTTGTCTTTGCCATTGTCACCTTGTCTGATTGTCAGTGACAAAGAAACTTTAGTTTTCAGCGGTTTTACTGTGCACAAGTTTAAAGCAGCAGTCAACTGCAAGTGCCTTTAGAGGCGGTTTGGATCAGTTAGGCAGAGTGTGTGTGTGTGTGTGCTGTCAGAGAACAATGACAAACTTGAGAGTGAGCTTAAACGGTGCAACTAAACGGTGCAACAGATTGTCACCACCGCAGACCAAAAATGTAAAGACAGTCTGCCTAGGTGACTGACTGACTGACTGAGTGACTGACTGACTGACTGACTGCAACGGGAAACTAGATGAGACTAGCAATCGGAGAAGTGCTCAATACAAAGAAAGAGGGCACAGTTGACAGTGAACAACGGTAAAAAGAAGTGTCTCCGCATAGTGCTTCTGAAATATTGTGACTTGATTGCTCTCAGTTTGACTGATTGACTACCAGCACTTGCCAGACAATGGTTTCAGTGGCCACTGCTGCTGCTGTTGTTGTTGCACAAATCAGACTGTTGTTCAATTGGTTGATTGAAAAAAATGCTGTTCGTCAATTGAAACGGTACCGTTAAAATGATGGGTCACAGTAATAGCAACTTGGACAAAAATTAAAAAATATTTTAAATGATAAAAAGTAAGCAGTTTAACACTGGAGTATTTCCTTATTTTTTAAGATATGTATCAAACACATTCAGTTTCCTTGATTTAAAAACTACAACTGCTACTTTTAACATACGATAAAACGCAAAAAATGATTTATAAACTTCCCGAAACAAGAGTCGATTAGTTTTTATGGACTCACTGTGCATTGTGTGTGTGTGTGTCTGTGTTGACTGGTGATGTCAGGGCGGTTAGTTCACCAAAGTGTGCATGTGTGTGAAAGGGCAGTGTATTAAGAACGCTCAGTTTGGTGACAACAGTCAACAACGTTGTCGCAGAGAGGACCAGAGAAAGAGAGAGAGGCCTAGTGCTGTTGACGGCTGTCCTAGCTACTGGTCCTTGCTCTCTCTCTCTCTCTCTCTCTCTCTCTCTCTCTCTCTCAGCCACTTAATTGCTCGCCACTTAACCGAGCCATTGTACTGCTCTTGTCACTTGCACGGCTCTCTCTTTCTCTCTTTCTCTCCCTTGACTCGTGCTGTTTTCAGTGTGTGCTGGGTCTGTCGCCGGGGTGTGTGTGTGTGTGAGTGTATTATTATCAACGGCTCGTCATCACTGTGCACCACAGTCCTCTTTCTCTTTCTCTCTCTCTCTCTCACTTCAAGTCCTCGTTGTGTCTCGCTGGCTCAGCTCGTAATTGTCTCCTTCCGACTGCTGTTTTCACCGTGCAGTTGTGGTACAGTGTGGTAAACAAATTGAGAAGCAGTCACATTAGCAGCAGCAGCAGCATTTATGGCCGGTACCAGCCTCTCTCTCTCTCTTTCTCTCTTTCAACTTGCCTGTTTGACCTCTGCCGCCTTTTTTCTACTTCATTTGTTCCAATTGGAACTATTGCTGACTAAACTGCTAGGCTAGGCCAAAAGAGCCACTGAGTACTGAGTGACTGTAGGCGCAAGTTTTTGGTAGTAGTCGTATCCTATCCCCCTCCCTAGCTTTGGGGGCTGCTACTGAGAGATCAGCACTGGCGCAGACCACTTTAAGCTCTAAATGCTCACGGGGCTTGGAGTGTAGTTGACGAGTGATATCAAAAAGCCGACGACTGCAGATCTGAGAAGTAAAAAAAGACGAGAGAGAGAGAGAGAGAGAAAGCAGGCCGCCAGAAGCGAACAAATGATCAGATCAGATCAGATCAGCAACAGCAGCAGCAGCCCTCGAGCCCTGCTTCAGTTGATCGTCGGTCTGAACAGTACCGATTGAGCAGTACAATGGCGGCCCACACGGCAATTTCCCCACACAACAAAACAGAACGGCCCTCTTAGGCCGTTCAGTGCTGAGGAGGTACAGAAAGAGACAGCAGCCACAAAACATGACCGAGCCTAAATGATTTCAATTGCCCCGCAATTGATGACGACAGTGCAACAGCAGCAGCAAATTAGAACTGCACACACACATTCAATCTGCTTGTCAATGAATTGGCAGTGAATGGACTGGAAAGCGATTGAAATGCCTTATCCACCTTTAGCCTCTCTCTCTCTCCCTGCTAACATGCAAATTGTCCCCAATTGTGCCACCGGTGTCTGTGTCTGTGCAGACCGATTGTGCCCGAAATGGAAATGGAAAAGGCGAGCAGTGCCCAGTGGCGCAGAAGGCAAAAGGCAGATAAGCCAAACAGAGAGAAAGAGAGTCAGAGACGGTGCCGCCGCCGCCAGACACCGAAAACCCAGCAGAAGTAGAAAAAGGCAGACGGCAACAACAGCCAAAAGATTAAAGGCAACAGAAGTCGTAGACTTTCAACACTTGAGTGCGTTGAAAAGTCGAGCTTCCTTTGCAACAACAACAGTTGACACTGAACTAGAGAAAGAGAGAGAAAGAGAGCAAAAGAGACATGCTCAATAGAAGATGAAACAATTCGAACAGTTTGAATTGAGGTAAAGAAGGAAAGAAGGTTACTTTTTAGATTGACAAATTTGTGTTTTGCTGTTCCTGTGCCTAGGTTTGGCAATTAAGCGAATAACTTAAAATGCAAAAGCAATAATTTTGATAAATGAAAAGAACAATTTTAAAATAAGCATTTTATAAAACTTTGCTATAGTAAACTGCATAAAATAAACTGAACTTGAAATTGTGTTTTAATGTGCAGCTTAGTTTTAAAAGGAAGCAATATTCAATTAGTCTTTAATTAAATTGGCCCAGTTTGAGATCATCAGCAGTAGGCAAGCAGGGCAATTGTGAGTTGCAGCAGCAGCAGTTGGCTAATCCCTGATCTGCTTTCTGCTTTTTAGTCAAATTCTTCCAACCTGGCAGTCTGACAGTGAGTGCATATTAGGCCTCTAATAGACAACACAGCAGGTCTTTTTTAGGGGTTCAATATGCTCTACTCTCATTGGCTTGCAATTAACCTCCTGCCTCAATAGACTCTGAGCTTTTTACAAGTGACTGAACACTACCGCAAAACTTGGACTTAGATGATGACTTGGACAAATGTCACGTGCAGAGTACTCGGAAAGAGATAAATGCAGTCAAATGCAACCAACATGATTCTTTATTTGTTTTATCAATTAAAAATAGCGTTTTTAAAACTTTACTGAAAAGTTATCAAAAACAGCTAAAAAGTAACAAAATGATTAGCACAGTGTTTTCATCACTTTTTTCAATTTATCACATTTTCACGTTATGTAAACACAGACACACCACCACCACCACCACCACCACCTAATAGACATGTCAAAAAGGAGTTCAAGTTGGATGAAGTGATTGGAAAAATAAAGCCAGTTGCAGTGTCAGCAGCCCGAAAAGTTTGGGGATGTGTCAGTGGCAGTCAGTGGCAGTCAGTGGTTTCCATTTCACGGTCGCGGGGTGGCTAGAGGGTGACTACTAGGCTAGGACAGGACAGAGTGCTCTAAGGGCGGACACGGGACATGTTGGTGCTAACAAGGCAGAGAGAGCAATGCTGAAATGGAAACTCTATAAGTGCTGTCGACTGCAAACTGGGCTGACAGGGCATATGGCCACCTTGACGGATTCAGTGTGTGTGTGTGTGTGTGTTTGCCTAATGCCTTCCAAGTTGGGGCATTGTGTTTGGGCGCGCAGTGTGTCGATGTCACACTGCGCGCAGACGATTAAATCGGGACCAGATCAGAGATACTTCTCATTCTATGGCTCTCTTTCTCTCTTTCTTTCTCTCTTTTGGCTGCAACAGCAGTACATTAGCATTTTAATAATATAAACGCAACAAACAGTTTTTTGAGAATCACATTTCGGATAGAATGTGCACTCAGCAGCAGCAGCAACTGTGCACTTTCCACTACTACTACTACTACTGCTTTTTGCTGCTTCTGCTGTTTCTTTCTTTCATCAAAAAAGCGCTGACAAATTAGTTATGATTGGTGCCTGGGCCTAGGCAATGGTAGTAGAAGTAGCAGTGAAAGGCCTAGTCGGTCTGCTCAATGGCCGCTCAGTGGCAAATTGCCTCAATCACTCAGTCGACAACTGTACATACTCTCTCTCTCATTTTTCAACAGCTACTGCTGACTCAATTTCTCTCTTTTCCTCTCTTGTTCTCATTCTTTGCCCCCACAGAGTGCCAATTTCCAAATTGATTTTGATCTCTATCCTCTTTGGCCGCTAAGCGGCCCAGTATGCTCTTTAGTGCGCCTTGACGGTCACGCGCAAATGTATGCACGCACATAGATCGACAGCTTAAGCTCAGTGCCGGGCTTTTTAATGAGATGGAAACTGTAAAACAGAGCAAAAGAGAAACACAAAGTACAAATGAAAATTTAGTTTGGTTGACAAAAAAAACTAGGCCCTGAAGGTACTTAATTGTAAAGCCTTGGGTAGTAAGCCAAAAATAGTTCAACGGAACAAAAATGAGCTGTTTTTAAAATGATGAATAGAATGCAGCAAACTAAAACTGTTTAATTGTTAAATAAATGTGTGTGTTTTTACAAACTTAGAAATATTTAATCACAAGTTTCAAATTATATCATCTTCGCTTCTTCTACTTTTTCCTGATTTTTTGTATTTATTTAAGTTTGTAGACTTTTTAGCCAATTCTTTTTGCATAGATTTTGTTGTTTTTTTTGTTTTTCTTATTTGTTTATTGTCTTTTATGACTTTTTCACTTTCATTTGTTTTGTTATCTTCATAATCATCTCTTTTTAAAATATTGATTTCTCTAAAAACAGTATTTTTGTTTTTATTTTCATTTGTTTTAATTCGCTGCTCAACTTTTGCATTCTTTTTGGCATCGTTTGCAATTTTATCAACGTTTTTCATGTTTTCAATATCTTTTTCTTTATCTTTCTTATCGTAATCATCAGCCAGCTCAAACGCAGTTTCTAGCAAGTCATCTGCATCGTTATCATCAAAGTTCAAATGCGGACTATCTGGATCGATGTGATCAATGGGTTTTGGAGGGCGGTAGAAAGACTGTTGTGGTCGGTTTGGTTGATATGCCACTGGCTTTGGTGGAAAGTAGTAAGTGTTTTGAGGTGGTTTTGCTGGCTGTGATGAGATTGGTTTGTTCGGAATGTAATAGTTTAATAGGTAGGTTGGCTTTGGTGTTTGATTCGGAGTTGGTCTAGTAGGATTGTAGTAGTCGTTTGGTTTTGCCGGCGGAGATGTTATTGGTTTTGGTGGGTGGTAGTAGTTTATGTGTGAAAAGGGCGGCCTTGTTGGCTTATTGTACTCATATGATGAAGGCGGTTTTGATGAGTCAACGTATGCAGACTGTGCTGGTGGTGGTCGATACTCAGGAAGTGCGTTAATGACGATTGGCTTTGGGGGCTGGTACTGTTGCTGTTGGTCCATTGAATACATGGGCTGTTCAGGATACTCATTTTCAATTGGCTTTGGTGGACGGTAAACTGGTGGAGGAGGTTTTGTCTGCTGTGAGCTGCTGTACGGCGGTTGTTGTGGGTCGTACGTCTCAATCACCGGTTGAACTGGCAGTATTGGCAGGTAGGAGTTGGATGGCATTTGGTTTGGCATCTGAACTGGTTTTTCCACTTCTGTTGACTGGTACGGTTTATCAGGGTAGTACTGTAGTATTGGCGCCACATTAGGCCGTTGAGGCGCGACTGGTCGGTAGGGCAGTGGATTGTATATTGGAATTGGCTGGTTGAAAACAGCCCCATAAGGTCCGTGGTGAATGATCAACTGACTAATGGGTCGATTTGGTGGGACGTATGCTGGCTGGGCTGTGATTGTGGTGGTTGTGGTTGTTGTGGTTGTCACAGGAGGATAAGTTACTGAAGAATTGTATGCTAGGTTTAGAATAATTGGTTCAATTGGTGCCTGGTAGACGGTTGTGTTAGCTGTGGGACGTGCACTTGATGTGTAATAAGGTTTGCTGGTTGTGGAATATTGAGCTGGTCTTGTGTAAACAGCTGGTTTAACAGTCGTGTATGTGTTTGGGGTAGAATATGCTGGCTTTGCTGTTGAATATGGTTGAGTTGGTTTAGTGTAAACTGTTGTACTAGACGGTAAGTACACAGCTGGTTTGCTGTACGGTGGTTTGGTAGTCGAAACTTGAACTTGAATCAAGTTAACGGTTGGCCTGGGAGGTGCTGCCACGTTAGGTTTGTTGTAGGGTACCTTGATGGTTACATACTGAACTGGTTTCGGATACAGTGTTGTTGTTCGGGCAGTTGAGTAGCTAGTGGGCGTCGTGTAGGAGGGTGATTTTGTCGGTTTTGAGTACAGAACCGGTTTTGCAGTGGAAACAACCGCAGTACTCGACTCAACGTACGGCACTACCTGCGTGGACGCCGACAACATGGGCAGCACATTTTCCGCGTAGTGCCCGGGCACATTGCCCACCGGCCAGTAGCGCACCACCAAGTACGAGGTCTCCTCGCTCTTCGACACCGAACAGCCGACGCCAATCTCCGTCGACTGCCGCCAGATGAGGTTCGTAAAGTGAATCCACCGGGACTGCTGCGCCAGGTCCGGCTCGTGACCAAAGTTGCCCTGGTAGGCGGCCACCTCGCTGTACCACCGGTCGACGGCCCGGCTGGCGTCTGGGGCGTTGGCCGCCGGGTGCCAGTAGGCGTACAGGTTCTCCCCTAGGGGCGAGTCGTGCAACAACCGATCTTCCGCCTTCATTCGATTCGCCAGCAGTTGCGCCTCTCTGGTGAGGGTGGCGTTGATGTGCAGCTGGCCGACGCCATGTCGGTGGCGGAACTCGTTGTGCCGTTGAAGGACCAGGTACTCGAAGATCTGGCTGCAGTCACCGGCCACTTGGCCGACTACTACACCGAAGAGGAGGAAAGCTAGTAAGTAAGCTAAGGAGCCACAAATTTTTAGTATTATTGAGGGGTTCATTGTAGTGGTGAATTCACATTTACACTGGTCACACTGAGCACACAAACAGGAACACAAGCATACACAGTTGATGTGCACTAGTTGAGAATGACACACTAATTTTTGCAAAAAAACGTTTTTTGCACCTCAAAGTAATGACTTCATAGTAGTAGTAGTGGAAGTTGTTCTGCTTACTAAAAAGTAACTGAAATCATTTTTTCTTGTTTGATATTTAAATTTTGCATTTTCATGACGTCTACCGTTTAAACACACTTGGCGTTTTTTGCCTTCCCTCCGTTCGTGTTGTTTAGTGAAAACATTTGCGTTTAATTCGTTTTTCAAAAAGTTTTTGTTCACTATTAAATAGCTGCGCTTGCAACATTGTTTTGACATTTGATTTTACAAAGAATTAAAAATTTAAGTGCTTGTTTGGCAATAAATGGCAGTTAATTTTTTGTCACGTACACAATTTTAAAACTTCCACATCAATTTTTGTTTGTTCTTTTTGATAAAAAAAAATTTGTCTACTATATATTTTTAAATTAACATTCAACTTGACATTTCATTTGGATGTACCCTTTCACTGGCAAATAAATTGGCACAACTTTCCGTTTGCGGTAAACAGTTTGCTTAGTTTCGATTTTTACTAACACTTCAGTTTTTGCTTCAAATCTCAAGACCCCGTTACTACTGCTGATTTGCTTTCCATTGTCCCACCTCATTTTGTGTTGACGCTCCTCTTCAATTTTGCCATTGAGTGTTTGTCATGTTCATTCGCAGGCGTGTTTGCTCAACAGTACACTGAAATGTGAAGCCAAGGCAAATACTGCAAAAATAGTATTAGCATACTGTGGTGGCAACAAACTGTTCCCCTGTTACCTTTTTTAAATCATTTTCCACTTTTGTAGCTGTCTTGTTACTACTACTACTACCACTGCCCAACTCTCAAATGGACAAGTATCTTAATTAATTTTTGAGCTCCGAATTCTTGCGGTCAACACTTGAGCCTTCAATTGCGCAGGCAAGAAAGCAACACAATTGCCACTGTGTTAAACTGGAGATTTTCCGCCTCACTGAATCGCTCACTTACCACCACAACCCAAGGACTTGCTGACTTGCTCAATTGAATTCGGCAAATTGAGCCACAAGTCAAAGGGCAAACAGGAACAGGCCAGGTTGCTGAGAGCAGACAAATTTGCTCTGCTCCCATGACAAAGGGGTCACTTTTTTTCTTAGTACGCACTTTCTCCACCCTTGAAGTCAACACTTGAAATTGGCGGCTTTTCTTAAATAGAGAGTAAAAAGAGATTAACGAATTAGAACCAAAATCAGAATGGCCAAGAACGGCTGCAAGTAACACACATGAACCAGCGTAAACGCATTTTCAAAATCGAGAAAATCGAGTGAAATAGATTTTCCGTGCTGTCGGACAAGATCAGAGAAAAAGAAAAAGAGCAGATTTGCAAAATCAGTCTCTAAAATGGTCAGTCAGTCTGTCAAGTTCAGTCTAGTGGACGATAGAATCAGCAAAAGCAGTCTCCAAAACGGTTTGTGACTGCTCGTCACTACGTCTGCTTATCAAACGGTACCACTGCTTAGTCTGTACAAAATGAAAGGGCTGCAGTCATTTTGAAGCATTGCAGTTCTTCTATTTGAATCAGTTCACTTCATTGCAATTTGTCGCCTATTTGTGGGCAGAAGAAAGATGACCAACCCCGCTGTTCGGTGTCCACTTACCACTGTGGACTTCATCTCTCTCTCTCTCTCTTTCTCTCTCTCTCTCTCTCTCTCATCTCATCTTATCTCATTTCAGTTAGTCAGTCAGGTAGTCAGGCAGGCAGGCAGACACATAGTCAATAGGTTTGTGCTAGTGTGTTTGACAATTTAAAAAACTGCAGTCGTCAGAAGACTGCTTATCGGTCACTGCGGCCGGTAGACTTATTCTTACAAGGACTGACTGACTGGTCACTGACACAAAAAGGCTCACCGCGTAAAAGACGGGAGAAAAGGGGTGAGGGAAAAAGTGAAGAAAGGGTTAAAAAAGAAGAGAGAGGGAGAGAAGAAGGTTTCTGCAGACTACCCTGCCGACTGCTTCCGATACCTGCTCTTCACTTCTGCCCCTGACTTGCTCCATTGTCATTTACGCTCAACGACTAATTTGTACGTTAAAATTAAGTGCACTTTTGTCTGCCTGACAGTGTCTCGTAAACNTCTCTCTCTCTCTCTCTCTCTCTCTCTCTCTCTCTCTCTCTCTCTCTCTCTCAGGCAGACAGCCTAAATGCCTTTTTAATACTTTGGCCCTCTGCTCTTGAGAATTCATTCACCAAAATTCATTCAGTGCATTCTACTAGAAAATGGTCAACAGCAACACACACACTCACACATTCACTTAGAATAGACCAGTCAGTTTAGTTCCTTAAGCAATTAGTGAAGGAAAAGTTCTCAATGAAACTTCACTTTTTACACGTTAAGGCCAAATTAGCCAAGTGCTGTTCAAATTCAAATAAGGTAGTAAAAGTGTCAACAGGGGAGATCACTGGTGCTAATTTCTTACAACAGACACGGGAATTACACAAGTTTATCTGTCAGTGACTTTGGGCACCCATTGACTAACTGCCTGCTGTGTGCCTGCTTAGTGTCACCTCTTTGCCATTAATCTCCTCTAATCAGTGTCTCTGACTTTGTGCCTATTAGCCGAGAACTGCTGTGGTTTTGTCGCTTTTGTTTTTCTACTAATACATTAGAGCGTAACTAACAAATGAAACTGTCAATCAGTAGTTAATCTTTAGTACTATTTCAACAACAAAAAACTGTTTATTACGCAACTGACAAACCAGAATCTGCTATGATTGATCTTTTCATATGATTTTCCTGTTTTTTCAATTTTCTTAATTTTGACCAGTCACTTGCACGTGTTTTGATTGGAAAGTTTAATTGTCATGTGCAACCGCCTACTACTTTTAAGTAGATATTTGGTTAAATTGTCTAAATTGGCTAAATAACTCTTGTAGTGACCAGCGACCAGTCTCAAATGTAAAAAAATCTGCTTAAAGTTTTTTCTTTTCTCCAGTCGACCACTTCACTTAATTGGTCAGGCAATCGCATTTGAAGTGCTCTCCACTCATCACCCAAAATCTGTTTTTATATTAATTGTTTCTGACAAATGGATCTTTTTTCTCCCTTCCTCTTTCTCTCTCTCTCTCTTTTCTTTTTCACTGTCGTAATCACGTGACGCAATTGTCAATTGAATTGAGCTTGAAGAGCTTCAGAGTTGATAAACCCCACTGATTTTGATGAGAAAGAAGCTTCAAAAGGGAAAACTGATGATGTGATTTTGTGACCACTTTACTACGATCAGCCACCGCTGCAGCAACCACTGCGGGCACACACTTTTGGGCACCTCAAACGTGCAGTCAGTTCAAGTGGCCAAATTTGTCACGCGTCGCGGACAGGCAAACTTGGCTAGCTGGCCGGCTGGTTGACATAGTCTGCGCAGAACTAGGCAAAACCACCGCACAACACAAAGAGACCAGAGATATCGTCATCGTCACCACTTTTGCCTAATTTAGGCAATATCATATTTGCGCAATGCCTGTCCCTGCATTGTCTTTGTCTTTCTCAGTTCAATTCAGTATTGACGTTCTACCAGGCATTCACAACCTGGCACTTAGTGCAGCAGTGTAGGGCACCCAAACGCTTTGTTTCGGTTATCCAAAGCATCAGTAACAGCATCAGCAGCAGCTCTAGGTGCTGGAGGTATCCAATTTCAGCAGCCCCTTGTTCACGATCATGGGTTTCCATTGCCATTTTATATCAGTCATCTAGATCTCAACACGCAGTGTGTGCCACTTTTTACCGTTTTTTGATCGCTTTTCTGACACATAGATTGTTTCTCACTTTTTGTCGCAGTTCACATTTCTGCCCCCCTCCCCGTTTCATTGGCCGATTATTAGATCGTGCGCTAAAGTGGGCATTGTCTTTCCATTCACTCACTACTTGTTCACACACTTGCACCTTTTGTTAGAACCAATTGCGGGAAAAAATTGCTTTGTGCTAAGTTGTAGGTGATATACTTTAGGTGCTGAGGTGTTGAGGTGCTACTCGATGACAACTTCTGGTATTGCCTATTGTTTTGCCTGTCAAACGGACACAAATAGAGCCATTATTTTCAGGAACACAATAAAATGCTGCTGACTAACTGCAATGAAACACAAAAATATGGGCTCAGTAACTGCTATTGAGCTTTGACTCTATAATATTTCAAATTATATCCATCACTTTGACCATCATTTTCACCAATGCCGGTTATTACTAGACTCTAAACTTCTTTTTTGTTTCTTCCTTTTTCTCTTTTTTTGTCGTGTTTTAAATTTTTTTTGTAGATTGCTAAGGCAAAAAATGACCTCACATTGTGCATTTTAAACTTAAAATAAAAAATACAAAGTTTTATTTGTGTATTTACAAAACATAATGCAGCATTTTCAACAACTTTCACGTTACAACAGCTTGCGCTTGTTCATCCTTAATAGCTCCATTTGCCGGTTTGGTTTGAGCTGACAGTTTAAGCGGCTCAACTGTAGTCCCAGCTGCTGATAGTGGAAATTGGCCTGGCAGGGGAAGTATACCGCTGGAAAAACTGTTTAGCCAATTAAAATGCTGTGCCAGCAGTTTAGAGTCAGCGGCTGTTTTCGCCGTTTCCGGTGCTGCTGGTGAAGCTGCTGGTATTGTTGCCGCCATTAGACTGCTTGGGTGATGCCCGTAGAATGAGCTTATCAGTGAGTTGTACGGGTGAGAGAAGAGGTTTAAAGAGGAGGCGGAAGACGGCGTAGTGCCATTCACAGTTGTCGATGAAGAGGGGAAAAAAGATGGAGTTTGTGGCAGAGGAGGTGGCGGGGGTGGTGGTGGTATCAGTTCAGGTGGGTCGGTCTGACAGGGAGAAGATGCATTGGAAGAAGAAGAAGATGAGGATGAAGATGAGGAGGAGGAAGACAGAGATGAGTTCAGTGAGTCTGCAACAGCTGCAACATCTTGCTTGCTTGCCTTCGATTTGCACTGATTTTCCACTGTTAGGTGAGGAAGATCAGGAGGAGATGTGGGCAGTGGTGGTGGCAACGGCGCCGGTAGGGCAGAGTGCGATTCAAAGGCTGGCATTAGATAGGGATACGGAAAGGGATACAGCGAAGGTGGTGTGGGTGCTAGTGCTCTGCTGGCTGCAGTGCCCATCGACTGCTGTTGCTGCTGATGCTGTTGCTGCTGAGCGTAAAAGTTGAAAAACAGTGCCGACAGTTGGCTGGGTGAGGAGGCGTCTTTGGATGAGGGACTCAGGTTACTGCAGAGCAAGTTTTTGTAGTAGTGCGTCAGGTGGTCAGATGGGGAAAGCAAAGTGGAGGAGGAGGGCGTTTGGGCAGTGGAGACAGCGGCGGCGGTTGTTGCTTTTGGCAAAACGTCATTTTGGCTTTGTGACATTGAGCCGGGTGGGGGTGATTTAGAGCCAACTGGATTACCGTTTTCAAGTGTGCTGTTGTTGCTCTTTTCATCTGTATCCTTTTGCTGATGACCATTTGAATGAGAAATAAGGTTTTCATCTGCAGGCAATAACTGCTGAGGTGGTTGATTTGCGAAGGAGGGTTGCATATTTGTAGATTTAAAAAAGTCACCAAAGTGGTCAGGCGGTGCATGTTGATGATGTGAAGTTGATGGCGGCTGTTGAGGAGGCAATGGCGCCATTTCCTTTATTGAGGTTAGCGTCGGAGGAAGAAGAGGAGGAGGCGGCGGAACTAGAGAAAAGTAAGATGGAAAGGGAAAACCTGACTGATGACCACCACCACCACCACCACCACCACTACCACCAAAAGATAGAGCTGAGGCAAAGGAATGAGGTGATGAGGATAGAGGGTGATAACGGTGAGATGAGGCAGGCTGAAACAGTGTAGTTGAGGATGATGATGGTGATGAAATAGAGGTAGATGATGTAGGTGGCGTGGAAAAGAATTGAGATCCTAAGGGTGATGGCAGTGACCCGGAAGCAGCAGCAGCCGCCGCCGTCGCAGCCGCTGCTGCAAAATGATGATAATGCTGATGATGATGTCCACTGCTGCTATTACTGCCCCCGGAAACGCCTGGCACCAGCTGCTGATAGGGACTGATGGGAAGGCCGGCGGCGGGAAAGGCGCCAGGCGGAAGGAAGTTGGCGTAGGCGGCGGCGGCTGCCGCTGCCGCCGCCGCCGCAAATGTGGAGTTTTGCATGTTCAGGGCGACTTGTCGTCGCAGCGTGGAGTTCCGCGGGCCCCTCTCCTCCTGGACGGCGTCCTTGTTCATGCCCTCGCGAATGCAGCGCTTCAGCCGACACGCCCGACACTGATTTCGGTGCGTCTTGTCCACCAGGCACTTGTTGGCGCCGGTGCCGCGAGCCTTGCACATGTACTGCCGGTTGCGGCGAATTGAACGCTGTAAATGGTAGATTTAGGTTAAAAATTTTTAATTTTAAGTAACAGTTTAATAAAATTTTAAACACTTAAAAAGTTTAAACAGTGGAAAAAAATGTTACCTTAAAAAAGCCGGCGCAACCATCACAGGCAAAGATGCCGTAGTGCTTGCCCGAGGAAAAGTCATGGCACACTTTGCAGGGTATATTCAACAAGATTCGCCCTGAGTTATTCAGATTAAGGATTGGTGACCCGGAACGACTGTCTGAGCTTGGACAGGAGTCTAGATCCATTAAAAAATGATGATGATGATGATGATGATGATTAAAATAGAGTAAATTGACCAGTTGACAGTGGACTCTATAAATCGGCCAGCCAGTCAGTCAGTCAGGTGCTAAGGTGTTGACTGGAGAAGTGCCGTGGTGCAAATGATTGATGAGGTTCAAATGCGGTGGCCCAGTGCAACAGCACAAGTCAAACTAATGTGTGTGTGTGTGTGTGTG